GGCACAACGGGGGTCCTGGCCCGTTGACTAGCCCCCCAGGCGTGTGCAGACGCCAAACAGTAATAATAAGACCAGCGAGAAGAGCTGACCACAGAAAGACGGGGGAGCGCCAGGGAACAGAGACCGTTATGCTCAGTATAATCGTCAGGCACAGCATGCCAGCTGAATGGCTGCTGGTTGAGAGTTTTGTAGGAATCGCGGCGGAGGTGAGAGTTGAAGGAGGACGTTGTGGTGACTTCCTCTTGGAGACTGAAATCAAATGGAAAGGGAAGACTAGCACCTGCAGGTCCCGGGAAGGGCTGACAATCCAGCCGCCATCGTCTCCTCTGGAGCCGGTGCCACCTCTCGCCAGCAAACCTTTGTTCAGGGAGGTTTTGTAACGCGGTGCACTGATCTGACAGCAGGGCCCTGGGGCCTGGCGAAGTAGCTTTGTTGGGACTGTCGGTGCAGCCGCTCGTTCTGTGCCGTCTGTGCGCTGGGCTGGAATGGGAGGCAGGACTCCTGGGTTCTGCTCCTGGCGCTGCACCGATATCCTGGGTGACCTTGATCACTTAGGGACAGTTTCAAAAGTGGCCTTTATGCAGGGGTGTCTCTGGTTGCCCAGGGCCTGATTTACGCTCAGCTAAGCAGGCGTGAGGTAGATCAGTACTCGGAGGGCAGGTCTGTGAGGAACATCCAGGGTGGTGCTGGTGAGTCAGTAGGGGGTGCTCTTCCCTCTGAGTCACGGCAGGACCAGTGCCCTAGTGTGGCACTAGGGGGCGCCATGCTTTGGAAATTCTATCAGATGAGCCCGGGCACTGAGGTCTTGCTATTCGTGCTCATTAAATATCACATGGCACATTTTGTAAGAGATTTGGATCCAACACCCTGGATAACGTCTACTCAGGTAATTCTGTTCTGCCTGTGTACATTCCCCCCTCTCCCATCTGTGCTTTTAATTGGATACAGCATTCTTCACTTAGCTGTTACACATGTGCTGTGTTCCCCCTCCGAGGTGGCTGCATTTCAGTGGTGGGTGAGATTCTCTCTCAGGAGTCTGGCTGGTGGGACTCGCTCACTTGCTCAGGGTCTAACTGATCCCCATAATTGGGGTTGGGAAAGAATTTCCCCCCGAGTCAGATTGGAGGGGGTTTCGCTTTCCTCTGCAGCATGGGGCAGGGTCACTTGCAGGTTTAAACTAGTATAAATGGTGGATTCTCTGTAACTCAAAGTCCTTAAACCATGACCTGAGGATGTCAGTGACTCAGCCAGAGGTTCGGGGTCTATTACAGGAGTGGGTGGGTGAGGTTCTGTGGCCTGCGATGTGCAGGAGATCAGACTAGATCAGGGTTTCTCAAACTTTATTTCACCGTGATCCTCTTCTGACAACAAAAATGACTCCACGACCCCAGGAGGGGGGGACGGAAGCCTGAACCTCCTCCGAGCCCTGCTGCTCCGGGCGAGGGGGCCAAAGCTGAAGCCCAAGGGCCTTTAACCTGAGCCCCGCCACACAGGGCTGAAGCCCTGGGCCCCAGCAAATCTAAGCCTGCCCTGGTGACCCCATTAAAATGAGGAGTCCCGACCCACAGTACGAGAACCGCTGGACTAGATGATCATGATGGTCCCATCTGGCCTTAAAGTCTATGAGCCTATGAGATTGCTATGTATCCTACAGCTTGCTCATGGGGATAATCTAAGAATTAGGGTTGTGAGAGCCTTGGATGGAAGGGGAAACTACTGGGCCAGCATCTCCATTTACTTCCATACAGCTACTGTGACGGATGCCCACGGGGGATCTGGCCTGCTGTTGTTAAATTGTGGATAATTGTGCCCCCTAGTGGCTGACTGTTGGAACTGCTGCTGTAGGTCACAGTGCCTTGTCCACACATCTCAGCTGGAGCAAGGAACAGCTCCTCCCCTGGGACAGCCATTGCAAACGGAGAGGGGCCTGCCAAGCCTGCGTCTGTCGCCCTTCTGCTGGCATCGCCCAGCACGCTCGTTAAAGGGGCTGTGCAGTTTAACTGCTGTTGCTGGGATGCCGTTTCATTAGCAGCCCCTAGGGGCGAGCGAGAGCTGGGCACCGGGGATTTGAAGCTGCGGCCCCAGGGTCTCCGTCTCATGCAGAATGTTCACTGTGATGCTTCCCGGGGTCGCTGCCACCGGCCGTTAGCATGAGGAAGCCTGTCTGTGCCTGTCGGGGATCAGCTCCTCAGCCCCACGGGCAACCCAAGCCCTCCCCTCTAGGCCTACGCAGTGACAGGCGCATCCCAACCCCCGAGTCCTTCGTCCAGCCCCTGATATGCTGATTCCAAAGAAACAGGACACCCCAGCTTACCAGTTCCTCCTCAGGTCACTGCTCCGCTACCACCCAGCTCTTAGATAAGTTTATAGTGAAAACAAGGAAACGTTTATTTACCAGTATAGAGACTCCAGTAACCGCCAGTAGGAGTCTTGGAAGCACATCGTTACATATACAATCAAATCACAACACTCCTCCTAGAGCCTAGACTTAACTAGATCAATGCTCGCCTGAGGTCCTTCCAGCCTTTCACAGCTCTTCAGCTGTGATCTCCCATTCCTGAGACAAGCCCTCCTCAATGAAATACCCCAGCCATCCAATGGCTTTACTCCTGAACAGGATCCCCTCCTGCTGGTTGTTCTCCCTGTAAATTCCTCCCCTCGAAGAGTTCACAGTCTGTTCACTAGCGCTTGGCGCAGTCTGTAAACAGGTGTCCGTTGTGAGACGTGCACTGCCCAATACACGTGCGACCAGACAGAGAGAGACGTGGCTGTTACTTCCTGGTTTCCTGCCTTAAGAACAGAATTTTCACTGGAGACACATAACTTCTAAATATGCACATTTCACAGTGATTACCGTGACCCGTGGCTTTCTGGGCCTTGGGGGAGACGTCACAAGCCACCCTTTAGTGATGTAACCCTTCTGCCCATCTAAGTTGGCAGCAACAAGGGCCGGGTTCTGTATCTAGGGGTTCCGTTTCAATAACACAATGCAAAACCGGCTCGAGCCCCCACCCAGTGACCTGGGACAATTACATACCACCCCTCTGGGTACCACTAAGGGGCAATACTTCCCCTCTCGCAAGCACGGAGTCTGAGTGTAGCAGAAAATGTTTAATAACATGAGGTAAACGACATCAGCATAAAATTGGAAAAACACCACAAACAGGATTCATAACACAAACCATGAGCAAAACCCACCCCAGCAAATTGGGCCGTGTCCTTTCCCTTTGGCTCTTGAATCCAGCAACCCAAAAAATCACCCAGAGTCCCCAAAGTCCAACACCCCCAAAGTGTCTGTCCCTGGTCAGTGCAGCCCCAGAGTAAAAGGGGGGGCACGCAGGGTGTTAAGGGGCACCTTACGTGATCCGAGGCTGGTCAGCCGTCTGTTTCTCCTTGGGGGTTCCGCCACAGCCTTCACCACGAGCCAGTCCACTTTCCTGCCATCCCACGAACTGCTCCGCTCTACAAGCTGCTCCGCTCCACTCCGCTCTGCTCCGCTCCGCTCCACGACCTGTGAGCCATTCCAGCCATCCCCGCAAACAGCCCCGCCCACCATTCCTTGGGCCACTCCAACCGGCCCCGCAAGACTCCGCACCACTCGCTGCTCCTCCAGTCATCCCCACAAATTGCTCCACCAGCTGCTGAGCAATATAGCTTCAGGCTCCCCCACTAGTTAACACAGCACTCAGTGATCTCAGCTCTTAATAACTTTAGCTCTTTCGTGATTTCAGCTCTTAGCAATTTCAAGGGAGCCCCAGTGCTGGTGCACCATTGGCCCAAAGTGAATTCAGCTCAGCAGCCTGTAACTAGACTCCTAATGGAATCAAAGTTAGTTCTGACATTCAACAGTGTCAAGAGGAGGTGGTGCAATTGATGTCTCAACCCTCAGAGGGGGGGCCTATGCCATCAGGTATAAATACCTGCCCCCATCCTCTCTCAATTCACTGGGTTTTGTAACCCATGCCCCTTGTCAAGCAAGTGCTACTTAGGTAATGGTGAAGGACTCACTCAGTCCTTCTGTCATACAACAGTTCCACTGGCCTTGATTCACAGAATCAGGGTAACAAAACTTTATTCTTCCTGCCCCAATAATAGAGAAACTGGGGATCCCACACCAGCCAAAGTAACCACTTTCAGTTGCTGTTGTTTCATGCCAGGCGAGTGGGTGTGCCTATGCAAACAAGATCAGCCCCTGGAGTTCTTTTCCACACTCGCCATAATTCACCACCAGATGTCAGGGTAGAGCTCATCCTGACTCTGCTTACATCGAATTATCCTGCATCTGTCTGAGCCAGAGGACCCTGTAAAACTCTCTGCACCCCCTGAGCCTTAGCTAGCTGGCACCAAGACGTCTTTGGCTCACACTCCCTGCTCGCCCATCACCCTGGCTTAGCCAGAGAGCTGTTTGCACACTGAGGTGCAGGGAGAGTCCGTGCAGGTCATTGGGGAGAGCAGCAGGGCAGAAAGCAGCCCACGGGTATGCGTGTGGGACTGGGGGACATTCAGGAGATGCCAGAGCTCTCTAAGGAGCCGTCTGACCCCGGCTTGCCGGGCCGGCTGGAGCAACCCTCAGTAGCCGGGACATGGCTGCAGGCTGGGTTGTCTCTTGCTTTTGACTCCAGTGCTCCAAGGGGCTGGCTAGCTCTGGCGAGATGCCAAGCACCTGCCCTCGGCCAGGGGCCGGGAGCGCACAACATCCTGCCGGAGGCCTCGGCTCCTTGCAGGATTGGGCCACTCAGCACAGGGGCCAAATTCCCCCCTGGTGTAACTCACCCTTCGGGCCCCCAAATTCAACCCTGCTCAAATCTGGGACGCTGAGACACCCTGGAAGTGCGGGTTCAAATCCACAGGAGGCCGGCTGAGCCCTTCATCCTTCCAAGGTTGGTCACTAGAGTCCCATGCTGCAGTAGAGCGAGTGTGTGTGCAGCAGGTGGGTAGTTGGGCTCTTCCATGGGCTACCCCTGGTTACAATCCAATCCTGCCCTTCATTTCTGTTTCAGATCCCTCCCAACCTGCCGTGCTCCGTCACGCTGCAGCCTGGACCGGAGGACACGGGGAAGGTAACTTCGTTTGTGTCCTCTCTGTTGGTCAGTAGCTCCCAGCTTCTCCCCTGCTCCGCAGAGGCATGGCGATCACTCAGCCAGACTCCGCCAATCCCGGGGGTCGCTCCAGAAGGCCTGGGCTGGCTCAGACGTTCTGAGTGCCCCAGCAATGGGTGGCAGCGTCTTGGACCGATGACGCTGTCTCGCGCTACTCGGAGCTCTTCGGGTGTCTGAGGATCCTGGAGCGAATTCCATGCAGCTTCCAGGGGATGATGAGGTGGCCTTAAAGAGGTGGCTCTCCTCTGAAAAGGGACTATAAGCCAACGGCAAGGTGGGGGGCTCCTTATTTATTGTGTCTCAGTCCTTTCCAGACCAGCTTCAAACAAAAAGATTTCTGCTACGGGATTCTCAGTACTGGGATTATCATCCTGGCCCAGCTGTGCTGGTGGAATGACATCGAAGTCACTACGCAGTACAGAGATCCCCAGTACTGCCAGCTCCCCCGGGAGCTGAGAGTCAAGCTGGGTTCCTCCCTTCTTATGCTTCATAACCAAATAAATGGTCCACAGGCCAAATGACACCCTTAATAGCAAGGAGGTCACGTTGGGTTTTCCATGGACTTGCAGAATGGCCCTGTCAATGGAGCACCGTGAACAATTCCGTTGATGCCCCCAAAAAAACTGACTCCAGCTTCCTCTCCCAGAGCCCTGCTTGCTCTGCAAGGCTAAAGGGGGCCCAGACTTGTGGTCACTAAAGCCAGCAGCTCTGGCTCTGACACACACAATAGGCAGATCTGTTGAGCAAGGAAGGGCAATTTCTACAAGAACAGCCCCTTACAACCCAAGCTTGTCCTGTCTCTGTATGAATATTAATGCTCCCATAGTAATAAACTCCATTAAACTTAGCATGGTAGCATTTGCCCCATTGTCTGTACCCCAGTTTTCACCCTCCACCAGCCTGGTTTTCAGGTGCTTCTTGCCTGCCACCCTCGGGCAGGTGGAAAACTTCTGCCCAGGGGAAAAGTCGAGTTTTCTCCACTCGCTCACCATTCCAAACCTGCTACGGGGATTCTGCTCCAACTCCCCCACATTCTTCCCTCCCGAAAAATGACCCTTTGCACTGAGACCAGATCCTGAACATGTCAGCCCAGAAGAGGAGCTTTGTGGAAGGGTAGGAGCATGTGGAAACGGGAATTGGTTACTTGGTCTTAGCGATTGCTACGAGACCACAGCTCAAATGTAGACGTTGTAATACCTAGGATTCATAACCAGGCTAGCCGCTTGAAACTTGGTGGTAATACTCGGACTAGAACTCAAATCCTTTTGTTTGAAAGGCCCAGACCCCTGCCACATGAGCTAAAGGAGAATCTCCATTAGCAGTATGGGGGCTATGATAAAGTTGAGCATTTCTGAGGCCTTCAAATAGAGGATAGTGGTGCACGCAGCCGGTCTAGGAGTGCAGAGTGGCGTGCACACACGCTCCAGCTGGCACTTTACCGTGTTCGGACATGTCAGAGCTGTTAGATCCCTGCTGGGGAGATAAGGAAGGGCCAGGAGAAATGATTTCCCAGCTTCCTACCCCACTTTGTTCTGTTTGTAGGCCTGTGGCGTTGACTACGAGGTGAAAGCTTTCTGTGCAGAGAACCTGGAGGAGAAAATCCACAAGAGGTAAACGGGGCCGATGTTTGTATTGACGCCGCCCGGCGGCACTGGGGAGAGAACACAGAGCCAGGGGACAGAACGGTTCAGCCAGCTGTGAACAGGCCTCAGAGATCAGCTCTTGGGGAAGCCGGTGCCGCTGCCCTGACGGAGTCGAGGATGCCGACACCGCAGGCTGCACATGGAGCAGAGCTGTTGCTCAGTCCCGTAACGGTGGCTCCACAGCAGCTGGGCGGTGTTAGCTGGAAATAACAGCGGCTTGCCCTATACACCCCATCCTCCACAGCCATCGGTGGCCTTTGTGGGCCTTCCACACGCCTTGTTCTGATCCCTAGCCTGCCGCTCGCTTCCTTCCACTCGCTCACGGGGCCAGCGGTTTCCCCCAGCTGGGGCGAAGAGCCAAGTTCCAACCCCAGCCTGGCCTGCCCCTCCGGGAACTGAGGTCTGGATCCCAACCGCCCGCATGGGCTCCAGCTGCGCTAGGCTGGTAGCGTTCCCTACGCCAGCCCCTGGTCTGTCACGCTGGGGTGGTTGGTTCCCGTTTGTCCGCAGTGCTCGCGGGTGGGAAGGGACTGGGAACGTTCGCCCTCTCCCCAGAACAGCCGTGGGAGGCTAACACCATCATCCCCTCGAGCAGCTTGTCGCCCAGCCCAGCAACAGGCAGGAGCAGTGCCCTTTGACTGCAGCTTGTGCAGCTCCCCAGCCCGCAGACAGCACAGAGGGTCTCTGGGCGTGTCCTGCTCCGGGGTAGCATCTAGCCCCTCCGAGGTCTCCATGCAGGCGGGGGCAGGGCCCTGTACTAACCCCTCGCAGCCCTTGTTGGATCGCCCAGTGGATCGCTAGGCCGGAGATTTCCCCCACTGACAGGGAGCACAGCGTTTGGGGCCCGCTGGGGGTGGGTCGTGGAAGTGCTAGTCAGAGAGCTCCTGTTAGGGGTACGGTGGGGACGGAGCAGATGCCCTGAGGGAGAACAGCAGGTGAGCTTCAGCGCTGGCAACCCACTGAGCGGCACGGAAGCTGTTTCCCCCTCGGAAACATGACTGGGTTCACAGCCCCCCCGTGTCACAGAGTCATTAAGCTCAGGTAGTAACTGTCCAGGCCTCCCTCTCCGGAGGTTCTAGGCTCTGGTCCCCACTTGTGGCATGGTTACGCTGCCAGACAGATCAGTATTATCCTCCTTGTTATACAGGGGAAACTGAGGTACCAAGAGGGTAAATGACCAGACCAAGGAAGCCTGTTACCCAGAGAGGGGTGGGGGATGGGTTAGCACTTGTGGCACATGTGTCAGTAGTAGTGGGGGCCAACCCCACTGTAGGAATTGGGTACTAACCCTTTAAATATTTTGAGCGCCCTCTAGTGGGCCCCAGAGCCAATGGCGAGGTAGCTAGTTTGGGTGTTTGTACGTTCATTAACAGGCTGAGCTGAAAGCCCGCGGTGCCCCTGTGCTTTCCTCATGCTCTTAATTAGGCTTGGCAGAATTCGATTTTTAATTTTTTCTCATTTGGATGGATATTACTGGTGTTTCTTTCCAAGCATTTTTCCCGATTTTGCTCTATTTAAATTCTCACAGTAACAGGAAATTCTGGGGGCTCCAACAATAGTTATGTAACGCCAAGCGATGCGGAGATTCCAAAACGTTCAAGCTTTAGGCACATTAAAACCCAAAGCGTGTCTCCAGCGGCCTTTTCTTCCTTTGCCTAGCTGTAGGTTTTGATTATTGCCGCCTGGAAATCGTTTTGTGTTCGTTTGCGTGTTTACAGTGAAATCGACATATAAAAATCAAAACCTTCCAAGCCAGCTGTTAATGTGTGAAGAGCAAAGACATAGGCCCCTTTTTCTCCCACCCCACTGTTTCATCCCCCCGCATGTGTGGGTCTATGACACGTCGTGTGTGGGGCTCACTATGACTGGCTGTCGGTGAGGTTGGGTCAAGGTTATCTGCTGTGACAGGTCCAGGGGAAGTCTGGATGAACTGAGCCTCACTAGAGCCAACTAGGGTGACCAGAGAGCAAGTGTGAAAAATCAGGACAGGGGGTGGGGGGGTAATAGGTGCCTATATAAGAAAAAGCCCCCAAAATCAGGACTGTCCCTATAAAATCGGGACATCTGGTCACCCTAGAGCCAACGCTGAACCTGGCTCCTAGGGGCTTCCAGCAACCTGACAATGTGCCTGACAGCGGGAAGGAAACGGTGCATTCGCTGGCTCCACACAGGCTTGGCCCTGGGTGAGCAAAGCCACGTGCACCGTCTTGTGGTCAAAGGCGGAGTGACTCGCACGCAGCCCTCGGAGGCTCCAGCCTGGCTTACCTGAGCCTACAACGGGGGAGTTGCTGCTGGCCCTTTTCGACGGGACCGTCTTGGTGTTTCTGGGCCTGTGCCGTCAGGAGGTGACAGGGAACCTTGGTTTTCATTCGCCCCGAGCAAGCGTCCTGACGTGCTGTGACAGTGGAGCGTGACTGACGCGGGGATTTGACCTGAGACACGTCAAGTGACTGAGTCACCTAGTGGTTAGAGCTGAGTGTGGGAGCCAGGGTCCTGTCCTTAGCGCTGCCTCTAAAAAGTCACTTCACCTCTCTCCCTGCGGCTGGCTAAAGGCAGGATCAAGGAGCTAGCCTGGGCTGGGAAGGGGCTCGTGGAGCCCTGAGGCGCTACCAGGAAAAAGGGGAGCAGGCGAGGGAGATGGGGGCCCCCTTTGATTTGTTGGTGCCATGGCAGGACTGGATCAGGTCCCGCGTCATTCTGATCCCACCCCTGGCTCTGGGTCACAGGAAGAGGTGGTTAAAACGCCCCCCACCCCCGAGGGGGGATGGCAGGGTTAATTGGTCTGTCTGAGTTTGGGGTGCCAGGGAAGCCTGCTGGCACCCTGGGGCAGATCCCCGCTGGCTCGGGCTCAGCCTCTGCCTCCACATGTGCCGGCAGGAATTCCGTGCGCCTGGTGATCCGCAAAGTGCAGTACGCGCCGGAGAGACCGGGCCCCCAGCCCATGGCGGAGACCACCAGGCAGTTCCTGATGTCCGACAAGCCACTGCATCTGGAGGCGTCCCTGGACAAGGAGGTACGACACACCCCACTTCTCCCTGGGGCTGCTGTGTCTCTCGGCAGCATGGGGCCCACACGCCGGTGCCTAATGGCTGCCCTGCGCCCGTAGAGCGAGGCGCAGGTCCCAAGGGAAATCCCCGGGAAATATCCTGGTGCCCAAATTCACAGCAGGTGCAAACGGGTTCCACGCCATGGACGGCCTCCAGCCCCACCACTTAACTCAGCGCCGAGTGCAGCCGTGGGCTGGGGACCTGGTGAACTGACACCGCAAAGGGTTGGCAGAGATCCCGGCTGTTTGATCCCCGCACAGCTCTCACCGGGGGGGAGACCTTCTGGGCGTTGTTAATAAACATTGGTGTGAGGGTACCCCCCGAGCCATCCCCTGATTGGGGGGGTGCCCTGACCTGCACAGGCAGGAAGCCCCCTCGCACCTGCCTCCTGCTGACACAGGCCGGGGCCCTTGTTCCTGCAGATTTACTACCATGGCGAGCCAATCAACGTCAACGTCCATGTGACAAACAACACAAACAAGACGGTGAAGAAGATTAAAATCTCAGGTAAAGGGGGCGCCCGCGTTCCCTGTATCGGCCGCGCACAATGGCAGGAGGGGACCGTCACAGGCTGTCGCAGCTGGGCCACCCCCTCCTTCCATTGGAGTCCCTTTAAACCCTCTCCCCAGCCTTCCCTGACCCCCAGCAGCTGCCCTGACCCTCCCTCACATGCTGAATCCCCTTCCCACACCCTCAACTGCCTGACTTCCAGCATCCCCTCCCCCATCCAACACCTGATGGAGCCCTTCCTCCCTTATCCATCCCCAGACATCTTCTCCCAACCTGCCTCGCCCCCTGGCTGGCTCTCTTCCTGCACCCCCAGAGATCTGCTCCCACCCGACTCCCCTGGCATGCTCTGGGAGCATCCAGCTGTCTGCCTAAGGGCAGAGTCCGGCTGGGTGACCCTCACAGGGCTGAGAGCAGTGGTGGGCCAGGGAGCCGAGACCGTCTCTATTCCCAGCTGTGTCACAGACACCCTGGATGGCCCCGGGCTGAGTCACTTCACCCCTTGGAGGCCCAGCCTGGACTCCAAGGGACCATCTCTCCCGATACATGGAGCACTTTGGTCCCCAGGACTATCACCCCAGCCCCTTCCACCAGCGCTGCATTCCCAGAGCACAGGAAAGGACGTTCCTCCCACTCCAGGGACCAGCTGGACCATACGGTGCTGACAGAGGTGTTTTCCCAGGGGGCCCTTGAGCCAGACGATTACAGAAAGATGCAGCCGCAGGCTAGCAAGGAAAGGGGGCTGGAAAGGCTAGCTCTGAGAACGGGAGATGAGCCCATCACCCCGCTCAGCAATGGAGGAGGGGCATGTAGGGGAAAGACACCTGAGAGCTGTGGCTGATGAGTGAGGTCAGGGTGCTCTTCTTGTTCCCACGGGACCGTAAATGGGGCGGAATGGCCAACGCCAGTAAGGACTGAGGAGCAACACCCAGGGCATGGACACACTCAGTGCCCGGATCAGCTGGCTCGGGCTGGGGCTGGGGGGGGGCTGTAAAATTGCAGTGTTGATGCTCGGGCTGGAGTCCAGGTTCTGAGACCCTCCCCCCCCACATGGAGTCTCAGAACCCAGGCGCCAGCCCGAGCCCAAATATCTCCACTTCAGTGTTACAGCCCCACAGCCTGAGTCAACTGACCTGGGTCTGAGCACCCACAGAAAAAAATAGCGGGTGCTCAGTACCCACTGGTAGCCCTGTAGATCAGCTCCTACCCCTCCCCCCAGCGCCTCCCACCCACCAGTGGGCCCATGGATCAGCTCCTCCTCCTCTCTCCCAGTGCCTCCCGCCCTCCATGATTAGGGTGACCAGATGTCCCAATTTTATAGGGACAGTCCTGATTTTTGGGTCTTTTTCTTATATAGCTCCTATTCCCCCCCCCCCCCCCCCCCCCGTCCCGTCCCGATTTGTCACACTTGCTATCTGGTCACCCTATCCGTGATCAGCTGTTCCATGGTGTGCAGGAGGTGCTGGGAGGGAGGGTGAGGTGTGGGGGCAGGAAGAGGCAGGGGGAGGGGGCAGAAGGGGGCAGGGCACAGGTGGGGTGGGAAGAGGCGGGGCGATGCTGGAGCAACAAGGATTAATGCGATCCTTGTATGTATAAACCAGGGCGTAGTGAGGAGGGAGGTGATTTTACCTCTGTATACAGCATTAGTGAGACCAGGACTGGAATATCGTGTCTAGATCTGGTGTCCAAATTTGAAAAGGGTGTTGAAAAACCGGAGAGGGTGCAGAGCCACAAAGCGATCCGAGGGCTGGAGAAAATGCTTTAGATGAGACACAAAGAGCTCCGTTCATTTGGTTTAGCAAAAAGAAGGTTGCGAGATGACTTGATGACAGGGTATAAGTACTTTAATGGGGAGAAAATAATGGGTGCGAACGGGCTCTTTGATCTAGCTCAGGGGTTCTCAAACTATGGGTCGGAACCCCCTGAGGTTATTACGTGGGGGTCGGGAGTACATGCACGAAACAGAGAGCAACTCCTATAAAATATCTAATTTAAATCGAAAGCGTTTTAGAAAATTACACACACCTTTCCCTTGCAATGTAGTGCATTTACTTCAAAAAGTATTATAAACATCTCATGCAGGGATCGTTGTTCCTCAACAATATATAGGTTTGGATTATCACCACATGAAGGAAATTGGACTCTGAGGACTGTAGTATTGTGTTGTGCAGGTTTGTGGTCTTGAGACTAAAAAGATGAGACTGAGGCAACGTGAGAGGGCCGATATTAACAAACATACAAAGATCACATTTCACAGCAGACCCGCTAGCTAATAAGCCTGCTGTGAAAAGTCATCTCTGTATATTTGTTAATATCACTTTCCACAGCCTCCCAGCTAGCTAGCAAGTCTGCTGTGAAAAGTGATATTAACAAACATACAACTATAACTTTCCACAGCAGACTTGGTGCCCCATTGCCCCCCTTACTTCTGCACTGCTGCTGCCCAGTTCTGAAGGCAGCGCTGCTGCCAGCAGCAGCACAGCAGGAAGGGGGGCAATGGGGCGCTAAGTCTGTGCGAAAAGTGATATTGACAAAGTTTCTTCACGTGTCCTCCCCCCCAGTATTAAACAGTAACTATTAAAGAGAGAACTTTTCTGCTTATAACGATAATTTGATAAAAATGTGTTTTAGTCGTAATTTCAAAGCAGTGAGAAAAGGTCAATTCTTTTTAAACAATAGGTTTATAAATTTAGCATTTAAAGTAGTGTTAAATGTAAAAACTGTTGTTTTTAATGTATAAGGGGGGGGTCGCCCTAAGAGGCTTGCTGTCTGACAGGGGTCGCCAATACAAAAAGTTTGAGAACCACTGATCTAGCTGACAAAGGCAGACCAAGAACCAGTGGCTGAAGGCTGAATCCAGACGCATTCAAATTAGAAATAAGACTCAAATGTTTAACGGTGCAGGTGATTAGCCACTGAAACCAGCTCCCAAGGGACGTGGTGGATTCTCCATCTCTTGATGTGTTCAGATCCAGACTGGCTGCCTTTCTGGGAGACGTGCCTTCGCCAAACACAAGTTTAACTTTGCTCAAACACAAGTTAACAGGCTCAGTAGGGAGGTAACTGGGTAAAGTGTAATGGCGTGTGATAGACAGGAGGGCAGACTAGAGGATCTAAAAGTACCTTCTGGCCTTAAACTCTGTATAAGATACTATGGACTAAATGTCCAGGTATCTATTCCTGTCCCCATTCTCCCGTATCACTGCTGGGCTGCGGTACCAGGAATGGGGTGGGGGTGGAGGGTGTTGATCCCTTATGTCTCACTATCCCGAGAAGTGGTGCTGAGACCAGCCGCCGCTGCCTGTGGTGCCACCACGTGTCCCTGACTGCCCAACAACACGGCACAGGCTGGCAGGTGCTCTCACGCCTGCTGCACTGAAGCACACTCTAACCTTGGCCTTCCCTGTCTGTCTGTCTCATCCCCAGTGCGCCAGTACGCGGACATCTGCCTATTCAACACTGCTCAGTACAAGTGCCCCGTGGCTGTGGAAGAGGCAGAGTGAGTATGCCCACTCGCTTCCTTTGGTGGTATCATGGCTGTGGCTCGTCTCCAGAGACCAGACCACATCTTGCTGCGCTGGGGCTCCCCACCGAGCCCAAGCTTAGCAGGAGAGCTCGGATTTTCATGGCTCTCGTCTGCTTCCTACAAGATCGAGGACCATTAAAGAACCGATCTCCAGGATTATGCAAAACTGGTCTCTTCTGACTCACAGCCCTGCCCCCTGTGTGTGCGCCAGAGTCAGAGCAGCTGAGTTTACTTACTTAAATAAGGCTTATGTGATGGGGTGAAGCCCCTCTGGAACCAGGAGGGAAAGAACTGATTGGCTAGACAAACTGCCAATCAACCAGAGAGACAGGCGGGATTTCTCTTTAGCGCAAAGGGTTCTGGGTCAGGAAGCCCTCTATAAATCCTCTGGCTTCCTCCCAGCTAGGGAGTCAGAGCTGTGGGGCTGGGGAGGAAGGCCTGTTATGAGGCATAGGAAGAACTTTGACTGGGTAAGTGGAGGGATGGGATGGGATGGAAAGGGATCCGCTGTTCTTTTGGTTTTTGGTTTTGTTTAAAAGGAAATGTTGGTACCGTTTCTTTTCCGCTAACCCCCTCTGAACTTGGGCCCGCTGATCTGCCATGGCCTTACTGCTTTTCACTCCGTCGGCCATGTTCTGAGTCCAGGATCTTTATTGTTGCGGGCGTATAAAGACCCCAGCTTGACTTGTAGGGCCCAGGCTGAGTTTGGTGGAGAAATATCTCTTGACTTGTGATCTGGAGTCCTTGAGACAACAAACAGGGAGGCCCCACAATGTTATTTTTTGAACGTCCCTTTAAATAGCGCTGGATGCATAATAGCGCTGTTGCATCGCCATGTCATGACACGGCTCAGCGTTGTGATATTCCATCACCCAAGGTGAGGTGGCATCAATATGTGATGACTCTTCATCGCTGTGGAAAGCTGCAAACGTTGTAATGCAGCGTCGGTGCTGCACACAACAGAGCGATTCTGCTCTGCTTGGGGCCATGGCAACCTTGTTCGGACTGGCTTTTGATCACATCTCAAAACTCAGAGTGAAACGCAATCAAAACCACTGAGCGTTACATGGCTCCTGCCTGAACTCTCTTGGTTAGCTGGCAACTTGCTCCAAGTTCCCCTGAGAGATGTGGGGTCATAGATGAATTTAGGCTTTCGGGTGTTGTCAGGAATCTGCAGCGAACACCATATCTTGCGATTGTCCCGCGAAGAGTGAGGTGGGCGTGTTCAGAGCCCCACGGGTAGTTCTTGCATTAGGATTTCTCTGTATCACAGAGAGGAAGCCACTTCCCAGCTCCACAACAGGAACCACCGTGATGGTGTCAGGCATTCACATGATCCCCAGTGGGATTTGCCATTGCATTGTGCTTCAGATGTTTTCCTTTCTCCTACAGAGATGGGAGCTCTGGGCCCCGATGGGGAGGTGCGGCTGTTGGTTCGGTCCCATAAGTTACATCAGTTTCATTCTCCCACGTTGTTGTCCTCAGTGACGTGGTGGCTCCGAGTTCGACGTTCTGCAAAGTCTACACCCTGACCCCCTTTCTCGCCAACAACCGGGAGAAGCGGGGCCTGGCCCTGGACGGGAAGCTTAAACACGAAGACACCAATCTGGCTTCCAGCACGCTGTGAGAGCTCCTTCCCCCCTGCCCTGCATGTCTGAGTGGTTTGTTTCTCCCAGCAATGCGGATGGGCCACCTAAAGAATGACTGTCGTGAAGAATCCCTGTGCTACAAACACCAGCCGAGGCCCCAGTCCCGCAGAGCACTTGGCCTTAACTCTAAGTACATGAGTAGCCTTGTTGACGTCAATACCAGTTGGCTTCAGTGGGGCTACCCGTGGGCTTAAACATGTGCTCAAGTGCTTTGCTGCATCGGGGTTGGAACCTCAGTGTTGGCACCAGGATCAGATGTCGTAGAAGTGAGACATTTAAAAGTGCCCTGGCCAGGGCCCTGTAGGATACCCTGTAGGGGGCAGTACTGTACTGCCTGCCTTTGAAGGGATGACACGGGAGACCTAATGGTAGCGCTTTCTATTGCTAATTTCTGGGATTCTAAAAAGATGATGGCCAAAACTTTCACATCTGGCTGCTTAAAGGTAGACCCCCCAAAAATGCCACTCTAGGTTCCCACCATGGATTGAGGAGCCTGCGCACCCAGGTTTGAAAACTTCAGCCAAAGTCCTTAGCCAGTCACTCTGGGTGGGATTCACAAAGGTATTTAGGTGCCTAACCCCCCTGGCTTTCACTTCCTATTGATTTTCCTTTGTGCGTCTCTCTCTCCATCCGTTCTCAGAGGAGAGCCTGAGAGAGCCTCTGGGCTTTTTAGAGCGAGGAGCCCATTTTCACTCCCAAAACGGTTTGGCTGATTTTTCCCTTCACCTATTTGTGGCGGGTGAAAAGGGTGTAATTTTCCAAATTTGACATCCCTTCCCAGTTAGTCACTTTTCCCTTTGAAATATGTGAAATTTCAAAATGTCGCCTGATTCCCTGGGGAAACTGCCATTTTGCAAAAATGTGGTGAGGTTCAGGGAGTTGGGAGACGGCCCGGTATTGTGAGTCTGTGTTTGGGGTACTTTGCGGGAAGGGGAGCTACTATTTTCACCCGGTTCTAATAGAAATTCCTGGCAGTCGGTTCCTTACAAATCCCTCCTCTGTTCTTGCTTCTAGACTAAGAGATGGAGCCAATAAGGAGATCCTGGGAATTATTGTCTCGTATAAAGTGAAAGTGAAGCTGGTGGTGTCTCGGGGAGGGTGAGTATCTTCTTACGTCTGCGGCCAATCACAGCCAAGAAAAATCAAACCAGCCTTTCCTGTGCCCCAAACGAAGGCAAGGGTGACTCGATGCAAATTTATCCAGCCACTTAAATCTCTACCCTCATAGACCACGCCCTCCAGCACATGGCCACGCCCCATGACCACGCCCTCCAGTACATGGCCACACTCCCATGACCACGCCCTCCAGCACATGGCCATGCCCCCATGACCACGCCCTCCAGCACATGGTCACGCCCCATGGGCACGCCCCCCAGCACATGGCCACGCCCCATGGGCACGCCCTCCAGCACATGGCCACGCCCCCATGACCACGCCCTCCAGCACATGGCCATGCCCTCCATCACATGGCCACGCCCCTGTGGCCACACCCTCCCGCACATGGCCATGCCCCCGAAGTTTGAGAAAGAAGCTGCATGGAGCTTTCAAACACTCACAAAGGAAGAAACTTTTGCAGTGTTTTTTACATTGAGGGTTTGTTGAATCTTCTTTTGTCTGGCCCTGAATCGGGATAATGTTCACAGGGCTGGGCTATCGGCTTCTTGCTTTGGCCCAACAGCATGTGCTGGTTAACTCTTTGCATGGCCGCCCAATACATGCTCTGAGTGTACGGTCCCTTCATTTGTGCTTGTGTTGCTCTAAACCTCACTCTCCTGGCTGGAGCAGCTCCAGCTCTAGTGCAGGTGAATTCTGAATGGGTGGCAGTGTTTGCTCCTAGTGAGCTTTGGCTCAAACCCTCAGTGCCTTTCCTCTGCAGATCTCAAAGCACTTTACAAGCACTGGTTAATTCTCCCAACACTCCTCTGAGCAGCTTGCCCAGGGCCATGCAGTGAATCAGTGGCAGAGCCAGATATGGAAACTAAGAGTCCCAGTTTCTCGTCAACAACTCCTCTTCCCTCAGTTTGGTGTGTGCGCTCTGCTGCTGCTGTTTGGCTGAGCCTTGAATTGAGTCAGGGGACAATGACCCCCTTGACGCTGACTGCAGCTGGGAAGAAGGTTTTGGAGGCAGGAGACTTTGTTTATGGCTGAGTTAAGCATTCTGCAGCCTAGACTGGCAAAGCCCCAAAACATCCTGCCACCGGGCAAGAAGACTTAGCTTTGCCAGCAAACTTTGCTGGCAGGGAGTGGCACATGGCAAAAGCTTCATGCAGTCTTAGTACTTCCTGCTAGCCAGCCTACAGAGAGGCATCGGTTAGCCGGTCACTTCGCCCACCGGGTGAAAGCTCCTGTCAGTCGCTCCGAGTGGGAGGGCCAGGGGGAAGGGGTGAGGACTGTAATGATTTTTTCAGATATGTCAGTGGAAGAGGGTTTGGTGCAGGCTCCTTAAAGGCAGGCTGGAGGCTCAGCACGGGCCTGCTGTGTTGTGGTGAAGAATCTGAGGCATTCTGGGACTTGTAAAAAGAGCAGGAGGACTTGTGGCACCTTGGAGACTAACAAATTTATTTGAGCATAAGCTTTCGTGGGCTACAGCCCACTTCTTCGGATGCATAGAATGGAACATATATTGAGGAGATATATATACACACATACAGAGAGCATGAACAGGTGGGAGTTGTCTTACCAACTCTGAGAGGCCAATTAAGTAAGAGAAAAAAAACTTTTGAAGTGATAATCAAGATAGCCCAGTACAGACAGGTTGATAAGAAGTGTGAGAATACTTACATGGGGAGACAGATTCAATGTTTGTAATGGCTCAGCCATTCCCAGTCTTTATTCAAACCTAAATTGATTGTGTCTAATTTGCATATCAATTCGAGTTCAGCAGTTTCTCACTGGAGTCTGTTTTTGAAGCTTTTCTGTTGTAAAATAGCCACTCGCAGGTCTGTCACTGAATGACCAGACAGGTTAAAGTGTTCTCCCACTGGTTTTTGAGTATTATGATTCCTGATGTCAGATTTGTGTCCATTAATTCTTTTGCGTAGAGACTGTCCGGTTTGGCCAATGTACATGGCAGAGGGGCATTGCTGGCACATGATGGCATATATCACATTGGTAGATGTGCAGGTGAACGAGCCCCTGATGTTATGGCTGATGTGATTAGGTCCTATGATGATGTCACTTGAATAGATATGTGGACAGAGTTGGCATCGAGCTTTGTTGCAAGGATTAGTGGGTTAGTGTTTTTGTTCAGTGATGTGTGGTTGCTGGTGAGTATTTGCTTCAGGTTGGGGGGCTAAGGAAGCGTTGTTCTAAGTCAGCCATAAAAATGTTGGCATACTGTGGGGCCATGCGGGTACCCATAGCAGTGCCGCTGACTTGAAGGTATATATTGTCCCCAAATGTGAAATAGTTGTGGGTGAGGACTTTGTCAATATATACCTTCAAGTCAGCGGCACTGCTATGGATACCCGCATGGCCCCACAGTATGCCAACATTTTTATGGCTGACTTAGAACAACGCTTCCTTAGCTCTCGTCCCCTAACGCCCCTACTCTACTTGCGCTACATTGATGACATCTTCATCATCTGGATCCATGGAAAGGAAGCCCTTGAGGAATTCTACCATGATTTCAATAATTTCCATCCCACCATTAACCTCAGCCTAGATTAATCCACACAAGCGGTCCATTTCCTGGACACTACAGTGCTAATAAGCAATGGTCACATAAATACCACCCTATACCGGAAACCTACTGACCGCTATACTTACCTACATGCCTCTAGCTTCCATCCAGGACACACCACACGATCCATTGTCTACAGCCAAGCTCTAAGATATAACCGCATTTGCTCCAATCCCTCAGACAGAGACAAGCACCTACAAGATCTCTATCAAGCATTCTTAAAACTACAATACCCACCTGCTGAAGTGAAAAAACAGATTGACAGAGCCAGACGAGTACCCAGAAGTCACCTCCTACAAGACAGGCCCAACAAAGAAAATAACAGAACACCACTAGCTGTCACCTTCAGCCCCCAACTAAAACCTCTCCAGGTCATCATCAGAGAGCTACAACCTATCCTGAAAGATGATCCCTCACTCTCACAGATCTTGGGAGACAGACCTGTCCTCGCTTACAGACAACCCCCCAACCTAAAGCAAATACTCACCAGCAACCACACATCACTGAACAAAAACACTGACCTAGGAACCTATCCTTGTAACAAAGCCCGATGCCAACTCCCACCTTTTCATGCTCTCTGTATGTGTGTATATATATCTCCTCAATATATGTTCCATTCTATGCATCCGAAGAAGTGGGCTGTAGCCCACGAAAGCTTATGCTCAAATAAATTTGTTAGTCTCTAAGGTGCCACAAGTACTCCTGTTCTTTTTGCGGATACAGACTAACACGGCTGCTACTCTGAAATCTGGGACTTGTAGTTCCCAGGGAGCATTAGAACTATAGGCTAAGAGCACGGCCTGCTGGGAAAGGGGGCGAGATTATAAGGACCCTCTCCCCTCGTATGGGGAGTCGCAAGACTAGCAGCTGCGGGGAAATGCTGTGATGTGGCCTTGTTGGTGCTGATTAGAGCCCGCAGACAGGCGGGCTCAGCAAACGACAGCCGGGGGAGATGCTTAGCCACTACAGGACGGCACAACAGAGCAGCCACCGGGGACGCGTGCTGGGAGGGACGTGGCTCCAGGGAGCTGCCCAGTGGAGGAGACCTGACTCCAACCCCCCATCCTCCTTGGCAGCCCCTGGATCTGGAGCTCTCACCAGTGGGACTGATGGGATGCTAGGTACTTGCTGGTCTCAGTCACTAGCTGGGTGTGGGCTCCTGATGGGTTGGCCCATGCTGCTGTTTTCTCCAATGGGAGGCAGGCTCCTTGGCTGGAGCTTTGCCTTCTCATCTGGAACTAGTCTGTTGCTCCTTTTACTAAGCCAGCTCCCAGCTCTGCTCTGACCCCCCGTCCCACTTACTTGAGCCCTGCCCCTCCTTGCGGGCTCTGATCTAGCCTCAGGTTTGAGCCCGTTTCCGGCTAACTCTGCCCTTGGCAGCCTGGGCCCTAATGCCGCGCTGTGCGCGTCGCCTCTGCCCTGCCTCTGTCTCCGTGCCAGGCTGAATGCTCAGATTCGCAGCCCTAGTGTCGGAGACGGACATCCGTCATCTCTGTCCCAAATCCATCCCTTCCCACCTGTGGGGAGGGACCTGACCGGGAGGGGCCAACTCAGGTGAGATCCCAGGGCGATGGCTCCTTCCCAGGTAGGGGCGTGAGGTATCTCGGCTTGTAGGGGGGAGGCCTCACTTATCTGTTGTGCAGCCTTTCCCTGACGTTATCTGCTGACATCCTGCTTGCGGGTCCTGGCAAGTCACAGGTCAGGAGCCTTTGATGGGCAGGGGCAGGGGGCTGGTCTAGGTGACCTCTCGAGGTCCTTTCCAGTCCTGCATTTCTATGATTCTGCCAGCTGCCTGGTGGGGAAGGCCGGTTGTTATGTCCTGTCTCTAGCCCCCTCGGGCCCTGGAGCACCCCATAAACTGCTCTGCTGGTTCCCACAGACACGGCAGGAAGCGGCACATGTCCCAGAGAGGCCCGCTTGAGAGTGGTGTAATGTGGGACCCCAGCAGGACCTGGGCTAGACACCCACGTTCACATGGAGCTCAGGGTGATGTGATCAAGCCAGGGGCTGTGGAGCCGGGAGTTGATCTCGGGCCTTGTTCCTGCGTTCAGACCCGTGGGCTGCCTGTGCTTTTTCTTTTTTTAAACTGGTGACTAATCCTCTTGTCTCCTTTGACCTGTGCCAGCCTGCTGGGGGATCTTGCATCCAGGTAACGCTTTCCAGCTCTGCCCGCTCTGGCGGTGCCCCGCGGACGCCAGCCACCCAGCTTTTTCATTCATGATATTTCAGACCCCTCCGTGGTTCTCCTCATCCTGGTCACCCCTCGCCAGCTTTTCGTTCGCCCACTTCGTCTTTGCTTTTGCCTTCTATTCCTTCTCCACCCAAACCCCGGCATGTCTTCCCGGCTTCCCAACTGGAGGAAGATGACAAACTCTGCAGATAAATCATTCATTCAATTCCTTATTTGCTGCCTTTATCAATCCCTAGACTGGGAAGGTGCTGCCCTCTGTTGGTTCAGGGCCGTTGGCCATATAACTGCAGGATCGTTGTAAGAATTTAATTGACCAGTCGGGACGTATTGTGTTTGTCACCCAGGTGGTGGTCGATGCTCTGCGCCGGTAGCAGCCGTGCCTAGAGGTTGCAGAGTGAGGCGAGCCGGGGTGGCTCCCAGCACTCTCCTGCTGGCCCAGGGCAGGTTGGCTCTGAGCGAGTGAGGGGAAGAGCTCGGAGACACTCGCTATGTGCTCGTATGGCAAACCAGCAGGTCTCTGAGCTGCTGTCTTGTTCCTCAGCATCTCTGCTGTCATTTAAAATCTCTCCTCCATTGTTGTTTTCAGTGGTGCTGCAGCTCCACTGAGAGTCCCAGGAGATGAGAGACACGGGGTGGGTGAGTAATTACTTTTATTGGACAAACTTCTGTTGGTGAAAGAGACCAGCTTCCGAGCGCCTCAGAGCTTTGTGTAAAAAGCTTGTCTCTTTCACCGACAGGCGTTGGTCCAGTAAAAAATAATACCTCACCTGCCTTGTTTCTCTCATTTAAAAACAGTACGTCTCTGGCCAGGTCTGCACTACAAACGTACATCGGTAAAACGACGTCGCTCAGGGGTGTGAAAAACCCACAGCCCTGAGCGACGCAGGTCCAGCGACCTGCCCCCTCGTGTAGACAGCGCTGGCAAAGGGAGAGCGTCTTCTGTCAACATACCCAGCGCCTCTTGTGGAGATGGACTGACTGACCGATGGGAGAAACTCTCCCATGGGGGTAGTAGCGTCTTCACAAAAGTGCTACCGCGGCAGTGGAGACTCTGTGAGCAGGGCGGGATTTAGCCAATAAATTGTTCTCTGCCAATAGGCCACCGAGAAAGATTTGCTGCTGCTGTGGCGTGGAAGTCTTTCCACAGAGTCAGTCTCAGCAAGTGACGAACCACAAAGCTGTTTGGAGCCCAGGGAAGGGAGGTGAAAGGAGAAGAGGGAGGGACCCAAGTGGCACGGATGTGCTGCCAGCTCAGTGGTGCTGAGCCACCAAGAATGGAAACCGATCTTTCAGTGAGAATAAACAAATGCTGGTCAGCTGGCGGGGCTGGAATTCCCTTTCATCCCAAGCCATGGCTTCCAATTCGTCTCTCTACCTAAGGCTGGAGGAAGATGGTTTCCAGCTGGTTGTTCAATTTGCAACTAATTAGAGTCCGTTTTGCAAATGTCCCAGACATCCAAAGGCTAAACTGCAGAGCTTGTCAGTGCAGCGCAGAACTAGAAGTTTTGTGCAGCCTTCCTGTTGCATCCTTTTCTCTGTCCTCCTTTCCTGGCCTCTCTGTCAATTGCCGCCTGGTCTGGTACATTGCACGTTCTGCATGCCCTGACTTGTGTACCTGTGCTGGGAGGAATCGGCTTTACTGAAGCGGAGAATAACTGGTGCGAATTATGGGGACTATGCAAGGGCATGAATCGCGCCTTTCCATTCAGAAATGTGTATGTCACGCAGCGTGATGGCTTTATCACTTATTAAACTCTGCCTCACGCACACTACGTAGGGCAGTGAGGGGAGCTTTGTGACATCTACAGCATGTCCGGACCCAGCGTCCTTTAAATGAGAGACAGAAATCACAACTAAAGCCGGCGTTTCCCTCCTGCTGGGTAAGCTGCCAAAAACATATGTTCCCAGGCTGAGCGCAGACCGACTGCCTGGGCTGACGTGTGCCATGACTGATCGCTGCTTGTCAGTGTATATGTGATTTTTCCACCTCGCTCAGTAGCCCATGATCACTGTGCTCATGCCTCAGGGTATGGCTTAGTGTGGCTCAGAGACTCAATGCTGCAGCGAGAGGCACTCTAGGTAGACCAGCTGCAACGCATGCGTTTAACTACGCGCTGGACGTGTTTCTGAGATGGAGGGTTTGAATTATGTCCCCTTCTCAGACAATCTCCCTCTCCACCATTGAAACCGGCTTCTCTCCTGTTATTTCACGATGGGGAATGGATGGCTGCTCGGGTTGGTAACAGAGAGAGCACCTGGCGTCTTGTGGCTGCCAATTCAGATTTAGCAGTGGTCAAGAGCTGCTACCACCTGACAGCTGTGCGTTGGCCAGGGGTAGGCAGCAGGTGGCCTCAGTCCACTCCATCAGAGACAGGTAGCCACAAAGCTGTTCTCACATTTGGCTCATTGTTGGCAGCCTTTGGTGGAGAGGCCACGGATTGAATGGGTCCTTGAGCCTGATCTCCCCTCTCACTCGTAGAGGTGGGCAGTGTGGGGGAAACCCGCCCAGGCTCTGCTGATCCCATATTTATGCTGTGGCTAAGCCAGATGTCAGGCGGCAAGGCCAGCTCCTTGCACCAGCACTGAAAACCAGACTGACTGAGCCATCCTTGTTTTCACAGGGTCTAGAGGGGCAGCAGCCCTGCAGCTAATCTCAGAGTAAACTGGCTGCAGGGAGCTTCTCTGACGCTAGCCAAATGCAGAAGTTCCTTAAGTAGAAATGCAGAGCTCAGCTTTCCGATCTCTCCCCCTTCTGCCCCCACATGCTTCTAGGGAGATGACTGGCAATTCGAGTCCAGGAGTAGGGCTCTCAGGCTGTTATAACAGACAAGGCGACTGAGCCTGCTAGAGGAAGGGTAGCGAGGAGACACTATCATTGCAGGGGTATAATGCTGGTCTCATTAGCTCCAACTTTACTCTTTGAGACTCCGTAGCTACTACAGTGATAGGTGCTCCACTGACTTCAATGGAGTCCCACCTGCCTTAGAATCATAGAATATCAGGGCTGGAAAGGACCTCCGGAGGTATCTAGTCCAACCCCCTACTCAAAGCAGGACCAACACCAACTAAATCATCCCAGCCAGGGCTTTGTCAAGCCGGGCCTTAAAAACCTCTAAGGAAGGAGATTCCACCACCTCCCTAGGTAACCCATTCCAGTGCTTCACCACCCTCCTAGTGAAACACGGGTGTGAGAGGAGAATCGAAATGGTGACTATAAATCCAGGGTCAGAGTGTGCAGGATTTACACTGATGTCACAGGGAGCTGAATCTGGCCTCCACTCCAGATGACATGCTTCTTTTGCAATTGGAAAAACACTTCAATCTGTTAGGGCCACCAAAATACTCACATCAGCCAGCAGGGGGCGCTAGAGAGCTGCTTTCAAAGCCGGCTCTAGGCAGCAGTGTCATGTAGACACACTGCAATGCTCAGTCTATCCAGCATGCTTCAGGGCCGGAGCCTGCTCTGTGGGTGTTGGGGGCAGGAATCGGGCTCTTCCCAGGGCAGGAGAGAGTATTTCATTAAAATAGCTGCAGTGTCATTCTGGAGCCAGCTATCAAAGCCCCCGCAGGCCTGGTCGCCCTAATGCCCTAATCCATCGCGTCTCATCCGGGTCTCCGGGTCTGTTTCAGTGATGTTGCTGTCGAGCTGCCTTTCACACTGATGCACCCCAAGCCCAAGGAAGAGCCCTTGCACCGGGATGGTGAGTTTACCCCTTTTCTAGTCCCCTCTTGGCTTCGGGACTTGCTCTGCTGGTCTGAACCAAGCCTGGCGGGCGGGGGTGTCGCTGGTTGGGTGGGTTTGTTAGCTACAGAGCTGGCCTGTGCCGGAATTGAGGTTTCAGACACCATGTGGGTGGTAAAGATCCGTGGTTCTCGTTACATGAGTCGGGGTGTTGATTCCAGCGTTATGGCTAAAGTATCCTCTCCCCAGTGCTGCCACAGAATCCATAGGCCTGGAAGGGACCTCGAGAAGTCAGCTAGTCCAGTCCCCTGCACTCATGGCAGGACTAAGTATTATCCCAGGCCATGTATGGGTTGATTGCCACTCTCCACCCCAGAGATGGCTGCATTTCAGTCCTGGTCTGGTGCATTTGAGGCCAAATCCCATTCCCATTGATTTCCAAAAGGAGTTTTGTGCAAGCAAGGATGGCAGGATTGTGCCCAGAGCTTGTGGTGCTGAGGGATGAAAGAAGCTGTGTAACGGTTATTTAGTATTTTGTGAAGTAACTAACCATGTGCAATAATTCCCTGTGTTTAGTTCCAGAGAATGAAGCTCCCATAGATACAAATCTCATAGAGCTTGATACAAAGTAAGCTAAAATCATCCCAGGGCCTATATGGGAATGTTGAATCATTTGCATATGAACTCAATCAGTGATCAACTCATTTGCATGTAACTCAATAACCAGCTAACTCATCTAGACGTAATTCGGTCAATATCATTTCCATGTAACAGTCAATGATTAACTCATGTGCACGTAACCTTTAATGCATGGGGTTTCTTTTCTTTCTTTTTGGCATGATAACCATCTTGCATGTGTTTTGCAACAGGAAAAGCACAGTAAGAAACCACCTTCTCTGTCTCTGAGTTGTATTTTGCTCTGTTGCATCCATCTCATTGTGTTGTCACAGCCGGACTTCACACAGTGGAATCTGGTTTTAGTGAGTGTCGCTGGTGGGAGACGTTAAGTTCTATGGATCAAATCATAGGCCACCCTTGGGTGCCTAAAGCCGAATCCACATTTAGTCACCTAATGTTAAGGGTGGCCTGATTTTTCAGAGGGGCTGAGCATCTACAGCAGCTCTCATGGACTTCACGGAGTCCAGCCCCTGCTGTCGCAGGCACCCCAGGCACAAGTCAGGCGCTAACGGACAAATTTTCAGAAGTGGCCACTGATTTTGGGTGCCTCAAATTTTGGGGTAACGTGACGTGGCACCACCAAGCCCCTGGCTCCTCAGAGAGGCACATGCAGCTCTTGTTGCCTTCAGTGGGAGCCATGGGCACTCGGTACTGCTGAAAACCAGGCCCTCGGGTTTTCAAGTTGGGCGTAGAAATTGGGGGAGGGCCCAGATCAGTGGTTGATTGAGATTTTGGGCTGCAGGGCATCATAGGGCACCTCTGAAAACCAGGCTGCTAATTGAGGTGCTGAAATATGGTTGCTGGGATTTGAAAAGCTCCTAAAACTTAGAGGCTTTGGAAAATCCCACCCATGGGTGCCTGTGGGTGGGCACCCTGAGTGCCAGCCAGATTTCCAAACTCCATAGTCCCTGGATCCTAATGCGTTTACCCCTTGCCTATAAATATGAGTGGGGATTTGGGCCGACAGGGTCAGAGTGGAAATGGTTTTCTGTGATGTTGTCCAAGTCGAGAAAGGCTCTTGTGCCTTTCTGAGGGCCCCCCCCAAAATCTCCAGTACTGAATGTTAGAGAGAATTATAGAGTGTGTAATAATCTGGCTGACCTGCCTTGGTACGAAGATGCCTGTTAGAAACCCAGTCATGGCACTGTGGAAATCTGGCTTCTCCGTACAATGTGATCCAGGGAGCTCGCTGCCCCCATCACTCCTTTTAACAGAATTCCACTGTGCTGCCCGCCTCAGCGTGAAAATGTGTTTAATTTGGGGATTAGATCAAAGCCGTTTCCCAGCTGTGTCGTGAGCTAGTAAATTCTCCATGCGGACTGGAAATTCAGGGCTCTCTTCATCAGAATGTGTCTGGTACCTGTCTGCTGGAAACGCTTCCTAGTTCTTTCTGCCTTCCCTGTGCCTTATTGCATATTCCACGTCCCTTCCACCCTATCTAGCAAATTGGTAGCTTGGAAGCCAAAGCAGCTGTATTGATGATACCGAGTCTGCGTCACTCTGTAGGGATTTGCTTCTATCCACCCCTGTTCCAGTACTTGGACCCCCCGACCCCGCTGGAATTTTGGGATCCGGTTCCAGCAGTAAGGTTTTGAGTCGACAATTCACTGGAAGTACCTTTATTCCCCAAAGGCTGATGGGCTTTTTAACCAAAGGAAGTACATCTTGTACGCTGTGCTCAATGTCACTGTAAACCCCTACTATGCTAATGCTTCCCTAAGACTAAGCAATACAGTAGAACTGGAAGGAGGACCCACCGCATCATCCAGGTGTCCCCTGGTCTTGGGTGTCCAGTACACCTTCTGAGCTAGGCTGTGATGCACAAATCCCCCGTTTCGATTCTGTACCCATGTGCGTCGGTCAGTGGTTTGCGTCCGCCTGTCTCGGACACATCCTCTCGCAGCGGCTGCAGAGAGCGGAGGCCGCTAGCTCCATCGATTTGTGTGTGTTAACACAAAAACAACCCCCTTTAAACAGGCTTAATCTGCCTAACACGAGGAAAGCTAACGCTCTGCCTAGCAACTCAGCCCTGATGATTTTTATAGCAAGCGCCATCTTGCATCACCCGTATTCCTTCGCCCCCGGGCCCTCTCTACGTGCCACGCAGTTCCTGATGAAAAGACCCTTCGTTCCTCTTCAGCCCTTGGTTATGAGGGTGAAAAAAGCCCAGAGGATTAAACGGGTTTAGGGGGTGATCTGGGAGCAGAGATCAAAACCCTGGGCCCAAACAACTCCAAACTTTGGGAGTTATTTGAAACTCAAACACTGCGGGTTCAGACCATGGTTAGTTGGCTGGTGCCAATATCTCCTCCTGCTGTGCCTAGGGTAACACCCCCACTAAAAATCACTCCGGGCTCGCTGGGAGAACCAAGAGGTGACTAGACCTCTGTTTGTGGCTTTGATGTCCACCCCGCTCTCAGGTCCTGGTCCCTTGCACGATACGATGGCGTGAGGTTGTTTCCAGCTGTGATGTCTCACTTGGTGCCTGGCAGGACCGGCCCTCACAGAGCCTGTACTGAGCAGCGACGGCCTCTGCGGTTCTGATCATGGCAGAAGGCGCCTTTCAAACCCTTTGCCCCTGTAACTGACATCTGATCCCCACTCCCCACCCCTTACAAAACATCACTGTGACTAGATGTTTCTTTAGCTCAAGGGGAGTTTCTGCTGTTGTGAGGATAGGATCCCCATACCCCTAAACTCAGCTGGCCCCACAGGATGCCCTATATATACTGCGTCTCCCCCTCTCTGCTCCCTCTGGCACTCATGTCTCAGTGGCTGCTTCTGCTCGCCGCTCCCTCGGTCCCTTTTTCCCCACAGCGAAGCCAATAACAGCAGAGACCAAACAAGCCTTCCCAACCTGCATGATCAGGTGAGGCCAGAGCCAGCCCACCTGCCCCTAGTGGTGACGCAAGGTCCCAGCACGGGCACCAGGGGATGCCGTTGCCTCCCACCTGTTCCACTGTAACCTTCTCCTTGTGTCTTCTGCCAGTGACGACGACATTGTGTTTGAAGACTTCGCCCGACAGAGACTGAAGGGCATGAAAGACGACAAGGAGGAAGAGGAGGAGGGGACAAACTCGCCGCAGCTGAACGACAGATAAACGGGATTCTTTTAACCAGTTTTGTTTGTTTCCAGTAACACCTCTGCATTAGGCTTCTTATATTTTGTATGATTTTTTTTTTCTACATGTACCGGGAGCCTATGGATCACCCAGCTGGTGACGGCAATTATAAACCTTACAGCTGTGCCATATTTATCACCGTGCATCTAGCTACCTAGGCTGAAGTCTTGTCAGCTGTCTCGAGAACGAGCACAGGGCGGTGGGCCAGATCCCGAGGGGGGTTGCAGCAATCAGGCGTCACCGACGCTCAGCCTCCCTTAGGATTTGGCCCCCTCTAGTCCCTGGCCCTGTTTTCACTCTGGAGCAGCTGTTCTCAGCCCTTTCGTATGATCTGCATCTTTTATGCATTTTGTATAATCCAGACAAGACAAATCTTTGTTACGGGGGTGGGAGGAAGGGGTGGGGCGGACAACGCGTGTGAAAGGGGTTTATTTTCTAGGCAAATTGTTTTCACTGCCGATGGGACAGTGTATGAAGTGGGCACAATTCTACACCCTGGATGGAGAACAGTTGTGACGCCGATCAGCTGACCACACTGAGTCCTGGGCTGTGACCCGCCCTCCCTGCGGTTCACAGCCTATTGGCAAAGCCTGCAGATCTGTGCATGGCCCATCTGGGCCAAGAGCCTTGCCGACCCTTAGCACAGAGCCCGCGCCCCAACCTCAGCACTGCTGGTCCCCAGCCCCTGTCCCTCATCTTGCTGGCTGATGGCAAGGATCTCCCTCGCTCGAGGGCAACTAGACTCCCCAGTGTGGGTCCCATGCTGGCTCTGCTTTGACCCCTGTACCCGCACCAGGATCCTAGCCCCACACAGGGTCTTGCAGGAAGTGGTGGAGGACTGGCTGGGCCAGGGCGCTCCTGCTGGCCACTCAGGGAGGCTGTGCAGAGCCCCGTTAGCTGCAGGCAGGGCTGGACAAGGGTTCCTGCCTGGGGAAGCATCCCCTTACGTGATCCCTGCCAGTTCCACTCAGCTCCTACAGAGTCAGGAGAAAGGGGCCGCTAGGGGATCGACCCCAGTATCTTAGTTTCTTCTGCAACACACTGTCCCCCTAGTCCGGCGTGTTTAGAGGAGGGATGACGGGAAACGGTTTTTGTGTCTGTCATAGGAGAGAGAGACAGTCACCAGCAGTTCAGACACATGTGCTGAGAGTGCTGGCTCCCAGGGTGGAGACCGTAGGGTTGGGGAACCGCTGCTCTGGGATCTGCTGTCTGTCTCCCATTCTGCACCTTGCGTACTGTGCCATGGACTTGGGCTGCTTGTGATTGCAAGCTGCAGCCGTTCCGAGTGAGTTCCGATGCCTGCTGGCGCATGGGAGGCAGTGGGCACCAGCCGGCCCAGCCTCAGCCTGGCAAAGTGGCACCGTTGCTCTTTAAGGACGGGACCGGCTGCATTTGGACATTGCCAGGCGGTGAGAGGTTCTGTGGCAGCCGAGAGGGACCAGCTGCAGGAGGCAGGAATCAGTCAGTCAGGCTGATAGTCTATGGCGACTGCTCAATCCGTTAACACAGGGACACACGTGTCTCGCTGTGAACACAGCCACCTGCTCTCCCGCCAGCCGGAGCGCACGGCTGTGCGTAGACCAGGCCGTGCGCTGTCCCACGCTGTTCCCTACCCCACAGGCCTGGCGTGTGGCTGGGGGGCTGTGAAGCGCTGGGATCCCTCGGGTTAAGGGAGGAAGGTGTGAGTGGCAATTTCCGGGCCTAGGCGTGACGAGAGAAACAGGCAGGATGCTAGTCCCAGTCCCTTCCATCGCGGGAGCAAGGGAATGGTCCTAGGGTGAGGCATTAGGAGATAACTGCCTACTAGGCTTTGCCTTTCTAGTTCCTCCATAAAGGCTATGGACGAGGTTGTTTGAGTCGTAAGGGACCCATCCTGGAGGCCATGCCGAGGCAAAACGCTCTGCGGCCTGTATGAGTTTTGGCTGGGTTTGGCCTGTAGGACGAGTCCCCACAGAGTGGCTGGAACAGGGTGGTGAGCTGCACATTTGGTGTTTGCATTTATTCTGTTGGAGGTAAATTCGGCTTTGGGCCCCCATCAGCTCCACGGCCGCGCACACACCTGACCCTAGGAATGCAGGAGAGAAAAATCCTGGCGAGGTCAGTGGTGTTTGATTTGCAGGGCCAATGGGATTGGACCAGGCTGATCCTGTGCCTGAAGATAACATTTTGAAGCCAAAGTATCGTCGAGTCTTGGAAACCCGTAACGTTTTTATCTTCTGTGCCAGGCCTGCATGTATATCACACACACACACTTGGGCCTGTTAGGAGACTGAGGACTCAGACAACCTCCATCTCCATGCTCTGAACTGAAGGAACCTGTTCTGCAGCTCCTGCTGCCCACTATTGATTTCCTCTCTCCTTTCCACACAATGGACAAAAATCATCCCTGGTGCAACTCCAGTGACTTCTTTGGGCTTCCCTCAGGGCTAGATTTGGTCCATCTTTGCTCCCCTCTCTTCCTCTGCCCTCGAGGATTATTTAACTGTCTAAATGATTTGAGAGCTGGGTTAGAGGAAAGATGCCTCTTGGGATGAAGTTCTGTTGTGGTGAGCTGCATTCATGCGGGATCTTCTGGGCGCATGAGAAACCATCTTCTCCTGTCAACCCCCAGAGAACCCAGGGTGAGTGCGCTCCACCTGATATATTCTCCACGTCTATTCTGGGTACCCCGAGGCCTGCTGATACTGGTGTTTGCAATGTTGTGGCTGTGTTGGTCCCAGAATATGAGAGCGACAAGCTGGGTGAGGGAATAGCCTTTATGGGGGTGGAAGAGCCAAGCTTTTGAACTCCACAGAGCTCTTCTCCAGGTCTGGGGCTGGTACTCAGGGGGTCACAGCTCAGCGCAAGCTGGGACAGGTTGTTAAGCATAAGGGGGTAACACATGTTGCCAGAGACCAGTTACAATGAAGTGGGAAATTAACACCTCCGCAATCGTAGCACAAAGGCTGGTTAGTAGGTTACAAATTGTAACGCACCATGAAACCAGGACCATGCTTTTTGGTGTCTAGCAACGTTCTCAGTTTAAGTTCCCAGGCTCGTCTTTTGAAGGCATCGGGAAGGTTTCCTTTGAGGAGCGGGAGTGAGAGAGACGATACAGAGCAATCGTGTTGTGAGAAGTGTTCGCCCGTGGTGATGGGGTGTTTTGGTCTCATCATTTTGCTGTGTGAGTTCATTCGACAGTCTGGTTTCACCCACATAGTTATTGTTGGGGCATTTGCTGTAATGGGCATGTACATCACATGTTGTGATAGGCACATGTAGGGCCCATGTGTCTTGAAAGGCAGGTTCAGTGGGGAGAGTGCTGGTCATTGTAGCAGCGGAGAGATGTCTGCAGGTTTCACATCTGTTGTTCTGGCAAAGTCTGGTGCTGCTTTGAGTTAATGTCTTGCTTTTGTGGATGAGGTTTGCAGGTTTGGAGGGTTGTTTGAAGGCCAGAAGAGTGGGGTCAGGAAAGATTGAAATGCTGGGTCTCTTTAGAGAGGAGATGAGTAAGAGAGGGCATGAGGAAGGCATACAAAATAATGGGATGGAGAAAGGAAATCAGCTGCTCTTATTTACCCTTTCACAACACAAGGACAAGGGGGCACTCTGTGAAACTGAACCCGATTATAACTGATTCCTTACACACAGCACAGGATAACTTGTGGAACTCACTACCACAGGACATCCAGGCACAGGGCAGAGTAGGGTTTAAAAGAGGAACTGACAGTCAGATGTGACAACAGCCACAATTTCAGGAAAGGGGATAAAAATTATATTTTTAGAAGGGATCAAAACCTGCAGGCTTCAGGCATTAGCCCACTTCTAACTGGTGCAGTGGGCAGGGGCAGGATAGGAAGACATTTCCCCTATGGCAAGAATATTCTATCCACTGGGAAGCTCCTTGCACCTATCTCGGAAACATCTGTTCCTGACCAATGGTGAAGACAGGACCCTGAGCTAGTTGGTCTGACCCATTGGCTGATTGCTGCCAGGTGGTCACTCCCTCACAGGCAGAGCCCAGGAGGATTGTAGAATGTAGGCAGTGGCTGGGAATATCACTGACTGTCAGGTGGGGCTCAGGACGTTCTGTTGACTCTGGTTCGAATCCAGCACTGGCTAAGATCTCGCAGGGAAGCACTTACAGTAACGGCAGCCTTGTGCGACGGTTCATTTGGGCACGCGCTAGTTTGGGGGAGGGGTGGGGAGTAGCCAAGGAAAAGTCTCCCATTTAGTCAATGCTGAGCAACACCTCAGAGCCATACCTAACGGGGTAGGGAGGGGGAGGCGGCCATGTGTGCCCTGGGGATAGGGAAGTTATGAGTGGTTGAGACAGGGAGCAGCGTGCCAAAGAGAGGTGGAGTCAGCATGGTGTCTAGGTCGGGGTCGGGGGGCTACTTTGACTGACAGCTGCCTGTCACCTGCTTTCCCAGCTATTCGCCTCTCTTCTGGTCCAGCGGCAAGTTTGTTTTACCAGCTTAGGCTCCCTTAAACTCAGTGGGTCGGAGGCCATAGGTGCTGGAACTGGGAGTGCTGGGGGGTGCGGCAGCACCCTGTGACTTGAAGTGGATTCCATTATGTACAGGATTTACAGGATTCAGTGGCTCTCAGCTGAATCCTGTAAATCCCCACTCAGATGCTGATCTCATTTGCTCCAGAATAGCACCATTGACCCCCCAACAGAGCTGCTGCAGAGATCACCAGTGTAACTCAGCTCAGCATTTTGCTTTGTGGGCTAAAGTCATTCCTGGTGGAATTGCATTGTACCAAGCGGAGTGACCCCAGGGATTAATGTGCCCCAGTGAAAATTCCCTAGGGCCTGAGCCAAAGTCCATTGAAAGTAATGGGCGCCTCCTTCAGACTCCGCTCGACTTCAGAGGGCTTTGGATCAGGCCATTAACAGTGTGTCACTTCCACCACCAGGTGTGTGAAATTTCCCTGCCAACAACGTGCTGGATTTGGGGCAACTGCATGTGCCAGTGGGTAATTTACCCCAGTGACATGCGCTCTCACAGCCAGCTGTGCTCGCTAGCTTGGCCAGTGGTCCTGGCTCTAGCTAGGGCCCAACAACGCTTCGAGGCTTGCCAGTCGGACGTTAAGCTCTGTAGCGTTACACCCAATGAAAGCAGTAACAATCCATCCTCTGGGAGAAAAAAATAACCCAGACAACGGTGGGTGAGGAGATCATGTATAGTCAGACAGCGCCGTCTGTCCCATCCCCAACACACTCATTGAGACAGTAGCGATCTCACCAATGAGTTAGTTCTATTCAATAACGATCTTCGCCCTTATTCATTACTCACCTGCATTCAGCATGAACGTTTGGAGACCGCGCATTGACCATTCGATCTGTATATACGCACGTCGGGCGCGCTAGAGAGAGACAGAGAGAAAACCAACCGTGGTTATTTTTAGGTAACCTGACTGGGCAATGTGGTACTTTTTGTAAAGTGGTTACTTTGTACTGTTCATTGAGAACTTGCTTCTTCGGTTTCTCCCCGTATCTGTGACGTTTCTGTGTTCTGTCAAATAAATTATTCTAGTTTATTAAACTCAGAGAAGAAACCACAGCCCTGCCGTGTCTGAGGCTTTGTTTTGTAGTTGAAGGGTGGTTGGGTTCACTTAGTATTGTGTCCTGGGAGCCGCAGATGAAGCCATTAAGGGGCAAATGCTGATGTGGTTACACTGGTGTAAAGCTGAAAGAACCCCATTCCGTGATTCCGAATGTGATGGGTTGGGTCACAGAAACCCCCCGGGACTGCCACTTGATGTGCTGGGACTACCGCTGAGCCCGTTTTCTCCGCCAGCTTGGGACTTCAGTGCCCTGCCTGGTTGTGCCAGACACGCCCGTCTGCTCCAACACAGACCCAGGTCTGAACCATGTCCCCCCACAAGCTGCAGGCTTAACTGAAAACAGCTTGAGAAGTGCTCCTGTCTCCAGCACTCAGATACCCAGCTCCCAATGGGGTCCAAACCCCAAATCAATCCGTTTTACCCTGTATAAAGCTTATACAGGGTAAACTCCGGGGAGGAGGAGAAGACAAGCCAGGGTGAGACCTAGGGGAAGGGGCTGGAATTGGGGCATACTCCCTCCATGAGCACCCCCTGACCCCAGCCCACCCTAACCCCTGCACCCCCCCAGCCCCTGCCCTGACCCTGCACTCCCCTCACACCTCCTCAGCACCCCCACACACGGATTGTCTGTGGTGCCGGGGAGCAGAGACAGCGGGACTTGTCAGTGCTGGCTGCCACGCCCCCTGCCAGTGGGAATGCCCAGGAACTACTTCCCTGCACTCCGGGGAGGGGGC